ATATATATATATATATATATATATATATATATATATATATATCCTATGAGAATTATAAATTTATCATGAAAATGGGAGAGTTTTCTAAAGAAAAAACAGTCCTGGCCAACTTTTCTTGGGTAGACAATTTCTTGCAAAAGAAATTGATATTTACTCAACAAAATGTATGTGAGATGAAAATGAAGGCATAATACAACCCAACGATAGTAGTTATAACAGAAAAATATGGTAATACTATTAGGACCTATGTAACTATACAGTTAGTCCTTGCTTAACAATAGTATTTTGGAACCGGCAACTCCATCACTGAGCAACACAATCATACAGTGTGATGTCAGATGACTGTGCCATCTGACAGCAGTTGCAGCAATCCCAGTTGCAGACATTAGCAATAACAATAGCACTTAGACTTATATATCGCTTCATAGTGCTGTTATAGCCCTCTCTAAGTAGTTTACAGAGTCAGCATATTGCCCCTAACAATCTGGGTCCTCATTTTATCCACCTCAGAAGGATGGAAGGCTGAGTCAACCTTGAACCAGTGAGATTTGAACTGCTGAACTGCAGCTAGCAGTCAACTGAAGTAGCCTGCAGTACCACACTCTAACCAGTGTGCCACCTTGGGCTCTTTTTTAGGTGAATCTTGCATAGTTGCAGCATCCTGTGGTCATGTGATTGCTGTTTACAACATCCTTCCAGTTTCCCCATTGACTTTGCTTGTTGAAAGCTGGCAGCAAGTGTTACATATGGTGATCATGTTATTGTGGGATGCTGCAATATACTAATTGCAAGCTAGTTGCCAAGCACGGAAACTGCAACCAGATGACTGTGGAGATGCTGCAACAGCTGTAACTACAAGGATCCATTGTTCAGCACCATCGTAACTTCAACCGTTGGCTGAACAAGTGGTCCTTCTACAAGGGATATCTGTCCTGACAAAGGATTCTATGCCAATTCTTCAATCATGATCTTGCTTGCAATGATGCCACTCTACCCAAGCTTGAAAAGTGCTAAAAGTAGTAGTGGAAAGAATAAAACAATGACATCACAGTATCCAACATGCACTGTTTCCTATTTCCCCTTCATGAAAAGCTCTATGAGGGTGATAGGATTATAATCACATTTCACCACAAACAAAAAACAATAAAACTTTTATTAATCTATTAATTTATGACATGTATATTCTAGCTTTCTGCCAACAGGCAGAACTTAATACACTAAGCATAATTTCATAACAGTGTCATTGAAACACCCACACAAATGTAAAAACATTTCTCTTGTGACATTATTTGTAGTCAGATAATCAAAACAGAGATAAGTTCTTATGCTATTTGGAAATATCTGAAATGAGCAACAACTGAGAGGGGCCCATATCTCCCACCAATTGCAAGAACAGAGCCACAGCTGAAAGAGTCACAACTTTTATTGAAAAATGTTAATGACATACAATGCATTCTTTCATAGAAGGTCCTGAAAAGATAGCCAAGGAACAGATGCAGGTATTTCCATCATACTTTCCCCCCCCTGGCTACAAATGCACCTGTTACATTTCCGTCCGTGAAAGGCCCAAGAGTCCTAGGACAAAAATAGCAACTTCAGAATGGAACAGCTGCTATTATCCCTTTTTTTGAAATCTGTGGCTGTCCTGGTGGGAAATACTTATGCTTCTGGGAGTGTTGGATGGCTGCATTGATGTCTGTGGAAAGACAAGAGAAATAGTGCTGCATAATGCATAGTAGTTATAACGGAGTTGTAAATGTGTGATTGTTGAACAAGTGACTGAAAAAGTACACTTATCTGAACATTTTGTTATTTTATCTCAACCAAATTTCCTCACCCTTCCCAGGGATATAAGCCCATGTCATGTAATAATAAATAATAAATCTAATAAAGTAATACTCACCCATCCACGGGGAGCCAAACAAAACTTGATTTGTGGTTTATAATTTGTTCTGCAGCTATGTGCCTTGGCTTTGCCTCTGTAAGAAATAATGAGTTAGCAGTGTTTGGCTCCATATCTATTTTTCAATAAGAAAAGAAACTGGGTTCCCCACTGTCGACCCCATGCAGAGCTCTGAGCTTTTGTTAGAACAAGGTCTCTTCAACTGTACTTTCTAAAAATGAGCCACTACAGAGTATCCACATATTCCTGAAGGAGCAGATAAAAACAGACTGTAATCTTTTGTCTTGCCTTGTTCTACAAATCTCAGAGATGGTTTTGGGGCCATGATTTAGAAGACCAGATTTAAAGCCTAATTCCCCAGATCACAATGCTCCTTGCTTACCTTTTATTTTGTCCTTGTCTCCCTGATTGTAGGAAAGAATGGAAGTTCCTTGTGTTTGATTCTGGAGTCTATAGGTAGAATACCTACAATAGTTCTGAAAAAACATATTATCAATCCAGTCTTTCTAGTTTGTTGTTTGCTTTAAGCCATGTATCACAAAGTTCTCATATCCAGGTTGTGCACTTGTACATTCACATTATGGGGAAAATATAACCTAAATTATGTAAACCTTTGGCATAAAAGTTGATATATGAACTCTGTTTTCTTACTTTATAGATATCATCCAGTATAATCCACTACATTGTGATTAATACGATGGTCAAAACCTTTTCCACTGTAGTAATGTAATTGAGTAGCATAACTCACTAATAATTAGTTTGCTAATATCGATGAATCTTCTTTGTTCGCATTTCTTATCTCATTAACTGAATGGACTAGAATAAAGTACACAAATTCAGAAATAGCAAATTGGAATATTTTGTGACAGCTGCTTTTAATGTTCATTATTACATATTTAATTATATCTCTAATGTGTCTGGCAACAAGATGCTGAAACAGGGTGATTATGACTTCTAGTATTCCCTTAGGTGTAGAAACCAGCTAGGTGATTTGGGGCCAGTTACTCTCTCTCAAGCCCATTCATTTCACTGAGTTGTTCTTGAAGTTGGAAAAAAGGAGCCTTTATTGAACAAAATAAGAACCACATATAAAAGAAATTAATCAAATACAAAATAAATGGTACCATAATTTTATATACTTACCATTAACAGGAAAAATGTAAGATTTGGTTATGATTTGTGCATCTTCTTTTGATTTAGTAGGTTTTCTAGATTCTTGATTGTGTCCAATCTTTTCCTTTCTCTTTGGAGGTTGAGGAGAAGACAATGTGTCTCCTGTGTCAGTAGATTTTGACTAGTAGGATAGAGGGAAAGCAAATATTTATTTGTGGAAACCTGAAAAAATGTTATTAAATATAAACTTCAAATATATGCATATAAAGTCTTCCTTAATATAAATATTCCTAAATTGCAATTTTAACATCATTAAATGATATCACCACCATGATATGAAAAAGGCAACTTATCAACAGCTACATAAATTCCAAGGAGACAAAAAGATCATGGGAAAGCCCTATCTATGTGCTTCCCTGCCATGTCTCACAAGATATCTATAAGTGAATCTGCAAAGGAAATATAATTTTATCTGATGGGATTAAACACAGTAAACCACAAAACCTGTTTTATATTTGATACTTACACTCCCCTTTGATTTTCCAGATCCACCAACAGGTGGTAGTGAGGATGCCTTTGAGCTGCAAAAACAAATACATGTTTATTTATTTGTACACTAAAACAGCCCAACTATTGCTAAATTTTGTATAGAAACAAAATTATGATGTGATACATTTTGCTATAGTTTCTGTAATAATTATAGCATATCCTAAAATGATGCACAAAGTTGCTAGAATTCTCCTAATTCCTCTGAGGTGGGGTCCACTTGGTGTTGGCCAGATGGAGAGATGAAGCCAAAAAGTCTTCCTATGGATGGTGTCTCAGAGGCTGATGCTCTTGCCCTTCCTATTTAACATCTGTATCACAGGGTGAGGTCATCTCTTAATCAAGGTCTGATATCATCAGTATGTTAATAAGTCCCAGTCCTGAGTCAGTCAGCTGATTCTGTCAAAATCTTGTCCCAATGTTTGGAGGCTGGATAGGTCTGGATGGGGAGCAATTGACTTTGGTTCAATTCTGATTAGATATAGTGGCTGGGGATGTTTTGACCTCCTAAGCCTGGATCAATTCCATCTTTGCTCCTGAATGTAATGGCATTTACTTCCTCAATATTGGTATGCAACTGCCATGGCTGAAAACATAAATCAATTTGTGTGCCAAATGGGCTCATACCTAGACCCTCAGAACTGATCATTTCATGACTGAACTGTAAACTGAACTGAACATGGCCTGCCCATATGAGACATCTGTTCCTTGTATTGTTTGCCAGTAAACTTCCGTGTATAATTTGAGATTCTGGTTTAAAAAAAACCTAAAAGAAAAAGACCTGTTTATCTGAGGACTGCCTGTCTCTCTTGTAGTTTCTATCTGTCTCACACAATCTGCCAGATTTAGCTTAGTTGGGTGATTGAGCAAACAACTTCACTTGGAAGCAAGAGTTTTCTGTCATTATGCTTGTCCTCTGAAACACCATTCCCCCTGAGATTTGTTCAGCTCCCTCTACCCTGTCCTATTTAAATGAGCCCTTAATATCTGGCTCTGTTCCCAGATTCTGGGTTAAACTGGGTAATAGACCACCTGCAGGATGTTCTGTTTTTTTTTAAATTATTGTTGTTGTTTTCTGGACTTTTGAAGGTGTTTTTTTCTTTGATGTTTTTATCTATTGTTACTATATATTTAAAAGCTATCCAGAGTTGTAATGTGTTGGGGCAACATTTCTTTTAATTAATAAATAAATATTATTAAATATTGCAAAGTTTAACCATTTCACCAATTATAGTAACTTTGCTCTGGTAATATGAGAAACAGACAGGTATTATTAGTACCTGCCTCCCTCTCTTTCGGGCTAACAGTATTTTACCTGTTTCTCTCTCTATGTCTCT